CCTGCCCGGTCCAGCTGCCCCGCTGCCTCCACCGTTGCAGCAGCAGCAGTCGCCGCAGCCGCAGCAGCCGCCGCAGACGAGGCCGGCGAGTGCTCTCCCGCCTGGGTGGCCTGGAGCTGGTGGTGGTCGTGCGCGTGGTGGTGCACCGGGTGGTGGTTCTGGAGGCGGGCCCTGTCAGTACCAGATCCAGACCGGTCCTCGCCGCGGCTTCGTTTGCGGTAAGATCGGTCATTCTACTCCTCGCTGTTTTCGTCGTCTGGACGACCTGTTCCGCCAGCGCTTTGGCCCGGCGCCCGACCTCCCGGACTGGCACAGCTTGCTTAGGCGTAGCATTAGGATTTTTGACTTGGATATGGATGCCATTGTAGCAGCCTTGCATGTGATGTATGCTGATGACTCTAGTGTGCTTCCCTCTTATTACCCCGTGTTGCCTAGTGTAGCGGTGCCTAGCGTAGACTCCCCTGCTGCGTCAGGCGTAGGATCTCCTGCTTTGCTTAGCCTTGGTGCTTCCACCGCTTCACTGCCGCCTCACGCGACTGCTGCGCTTTCCTTCACCTTGGACTCTGGCGCCTCCCGGTGTTTCTTCCGCGACTCCACGACGCTGACGCCGCTGCCTGTTCCCGCTGCCGTTACTCTTGCTGACCCCTCCGGTGGTCCCGTCGTTGCCCGCAGTTCCACCTCCCTTCCCTGTCCGGCGGTTCCTTCAGGTTCGCTCACCGGTCTCCAGGAACCTAGTTGGTGTCGGCTGCCTCCAGGACCTTGGCGTCACCACTACGTTCCCTGGTCACGAGCGGTATGCTGTCTGTACCGAGGCCGCCACTGGTGCCCCCCTTACCACTTTCCCCCGGGACCCGGTGTCCGGCCTGTTCACACTTGACACCGCGACGTCCCCGGCTGGGTCTTCCCCCCCGGTAGCTGCGTCCACCCAGGTTGCTGCCGCGTGCTCCTGTCGGTCCCTCACTCACCCGACTCTCCTTTGGCACCACCGCCTTGGTCACCCTGCACTCCCACGTCTGCGTCACATGTCCCAGCACGGTCTCGTCCTTGGTCTCCCCGGTTCGTTCCCCGAGTTTCCCTCCTCCCCCGCCCCACCGTGCACGCCTTGTGTCGAGGGCCGGCTCCGCCGTGCCCCTCACTCCTCCTCTTTTCCCCCTACCACCGCACCACTGCAGACTCTGCACATGGACGTCTGGGGCCCAGCCCCGGTCCATGGGCCGCGTCGCGAGCGCTTCTTCCTAGTGCTTGTCGACGACTTCACGCGCTACACCACCGTCTTCCCCCTGGAGCGGAAGGCCGACGTGCCTGACGTTCTCATCCCCTGGCTTGTCTCTGCTCGTGTCCACCGCGGTCTCCCTGCCTTGCGCCTCCACTCCGACCGGGGTGGCGAGTTTGCCTCAGGTGTCCTTGGTCGCTTCTGTCGTGCGGAGGGCATCACCCAGACTTTTACCCTGCCGGACTCCCCGCAGCAGAATGGGGTCGCTGAGCGACGCATCGGTTTGGTTATGGAGGTGGCTCGCACCTCCATGATCCACGCCGGTGCACCCCATTTTCTGTGGCCGTTCGCCGTGCGCTACGCCGCTCACCAGCTCAACCTGTGGCCGCACCCCCAGCGGCCGCAGGTTTCGCCGACCCTTCTGTGGACCGGGTCCCCTGGTGACGCGTCTGCGTTCCACGTCTGGGGCTGCCTTGCCCACGTTCGTGCCTCTGGCACGGACAAGCTCACTGCCCGCACCCTCCCCTGCGTCTTCCTCGGTTTCCCCCTTGACGCGTCTGACTGGCACTTCTACCACCCACCGTCCCACCGCTTTTTTCACTCTCGCGACGTCACCTTTGACGAGTCCGTCTCCTTCTACCGCCGCTTCCCTCACCGTGGTCCCCCGGTTACTCCCCCCCTGTTCCTGGTCCCTCCTTCCCCGGTGGTCCCTGCCCCTCCCCCCCCCCCCCGCCCCCCCGTCCGGCCCCCTCTGGTGTGTCTCACGTCACCCCCCTCCCGTCGGTCGTCCCGGTCGACGAGTCTTCTGACTCTGGTAGTCCTCCGGCGCAGTCCTCGCCGTCTGTCCCTCCCCCGGTGTCTCCTCCTCCCCCGCCTCCGCAGCCGCCGTCGCCGCAGCTGCTGCAGCCGTCGTCTCCACCGCCGCCGCCGTTGCAGCCGTCGCTGCAGCCGCCGCCGCCGCCGCCGCTGTCGTCCCTGCCGCCGTTTGTGGACTCTGGGGGTGCTGGCGTTGAGGTGGGTACTAGTCCCGGGGCTCCTGTCGTGGCTTGTCCCGGCGGGCCTGGGGGTGGTACCGGTGCTGGCGGGGTTTCGGGCTCTAGGGGTGTCCCTTCTGGGGGTGCAGGTGTGGAGGGTTCGGGAGGTAGCCGTCGCGCAGCTTGTGGCCCTGGTGTTGGTGTTGTGTCGCCGCAGCAGCAGTCCCCGCCTGTGACCGCCCTCCGTCTGCTCGGCCTCCCGTCTCCTGACCCTGCGCCTGTTCCTCTCCTGCCGTCTCCCCCTCTTCCCGTCTACGGCCCCGTGTTCCCTCTGCCAGACTCGTCCCCGGCTCGTCTTCCCCCTCGTTCCCCTCCTGTGTCCCCTCCTCTGTCTCCTGACCCGACGCCGCCCTCACACGTCTGGTCTCGCCGCCCCGCTCGTGCTCGTCCTGTCTCCCCTGTCCCGCGCTCTCACCCTATGTTGCTCCGTTCCCACGCGTCTCGTCCTCCCCTCCTCCCGTCTCCTCCTCCGTCTTCTCTTGTCGTTGCGTCTCCTCCTCTGTCCGACTACTTTCGTGCCGCTCGTCCTCTTGTTCCTCGGGTCCTTGCCTCTCTTGTTACCGACCCGTCTGTTCCAGTGTCGAGTCTTGACGCCCTCGTCGCTGCGGTCGCTGACTTCGCCTCTACCCGCCGCCTTGACTACGCCACCGCTCTGGTCTCTCACCCTGCCTGTCCTCCGTCTGTCGGGGGTGCTCCTGCCCTCGGCAGTGACGTCCTGGAGGACCGCCAGTTTGAGCTTGCTTTCCTGTCCGAGGCTGCTCCCCATCTCTGTTCCATGCTGCTAGTCCCTGAGGGTGACCCAGACGCTTTCGACATCCCGACCCCTCGTACTTACGCTGAGGCGGTTTCGGGACCATGGGCCTCTCAGTGGATAGCTGCCATGGAGCAGGAGATGGCATCTTGGAGATCTACCGGCACCTTCGTCGACGCAGTTCCCCCACCTGGGGTGAACGTGGTCGATGGCCGCTGGCTCTTCAAGGTGAAGCGCCCTCCTGGAGAGCCGCCTGTGTTCAAGGCGCGCTACGTGGCTAGAGGCTTCAGTCAGCGCGAGGGGGTGGACTTCTTTCAGACTTTCGCTCCTACCCCGAAGATGACTACTCTTCGGGTTCTGCTACACGTAGCGGCTCAGCGTGACTACGAGCTTCACTCCCTCGACTTCTCCACTGCCTTTCTTCAGGGCAGCCTTCACGAGCAGGTCTACCTGCGTCGCCCTCAGGGCTTTACTGGCACCTTCCCCCCTGGGACCCAGTGGCTTCTGCGGCGGCCAGTCTACGGCCTGCGCCAGGCGCCTCGTGAGTGGCACGACACTTTGCGTGCTACCCTTGCTGACCTGCAGTTCTTTCCGTCCTCTGCAGACCCCTCGCTCTTCGTTCGTGCTGGCTCGACTCCGTTCTACATCCTTGTCTACGTAGACGACCTGGTCTTTGCCACTGCTGACAGGGACGCACTGGCCTCCGTGAAGGTTGAGCTGCTGAAGAGACACACCTGCACTGACCTTGGAGAGCTGCGCCGTTACCTTGGCTTGCAGATCTCCAGGGACAGAGCCGCGCGCACCATCACCCTGACTCAGTCACACTTGGTGCGCCAGGTCCTTCAGAGGTTCGGCCTTCAGTTCTCCTCCGCACAGCCCACCCCTCTTCCTCTGGACCACAGACTCTCCGCTCCAGTTCCTGAGGAGTCGGTAGATCCCAGTGGTCCTTACGCTGAGCTAGTGGGTTGCCTCATGTACCTTATGACTTGCACTCGCCCAGATCTCGCATACCCTCTCAGCATCCTGGCTCGGTTCGTGGCCACAGGCAGACACCGACCTCAGCACTGGTCTGCCGCTAAGAGGGTTTTGCGTTATCTTGCAAGTACATCGGGCATGGGGTTAGTGCTAGGCGGACGCAGGCCAGTGGTCCTTACTGGACACACAGACGCTTCTTGGGCAGACGACGCGGAGACGCTCAGGTCTTCCCAGGGCTACTGCTTTAGCCTTGGCTCAGGTGCTGTCTCGTGGAGAGCTACCCGCTCTTCGTCTGTTGCCCAGTCCAGCTGTGAGGCCGAGATCTACGCCGGTGCCATGGCGGCACAGGAGCTCCGCTGGCTGACCTTCTTGCTCACTGACTTAGGTGAGCGGCCTAGCTCTGCCCCGGTCCTGTACGCTGACAACAGGGCCATGATCCTCCTGTGTCAGGAGCCTCGACTCGAGGGCAGAGCGAAGCACATCCAGCTGCGGTACTTCCTCCTGCGTGAGCTACAGCAGCATCGCCAGGCTCGCGTAGTACAATTAGCCTCCGGTGCCAACACAGCTGATATCTTTACGAAGGCGCTTGCGCCTAAAGATCATCAGCGGCACTGTGTACAGCTTGGTCTGGTTCCTGTAGTCTCTCACTTACTCGGGCCTTGACTTTGTACTGTCCTATATATCTGTGTGTACACTCAGACTGGACTTGTGTCCTCTTACAGTGGTTGGACTAGTAGTGCCGCCCTGTACTAGTTCTTGCCTTGCCTGTACTCCTTCTGACTGGTCTTTTAGACCCTTGTCTCAGAGGCTGGACTAGTAGTGCCACCCTGAGCTGCTTGTCTAGAACATTCCCTTATGCAGTCCAGGGGGTGTGTCAAACATGTTTAGTTATCATGCTTGTATAGACTGTATAGGGTCATCTTCTAGAGAGTACAACTGTTAGGTATATGTTTGTGTACTCTCTTCCTCTCATTCATCAATTTCACTGTTTGATACGTTCTTGTATATTTTTATAGCAAACACGACGTCATGGGATCTTGTCTGCTGGAAGAGAAATACAGGTACTCTAACTATACCTTCATATTACTATGTGTAAAAAGTATCCATTGCTACTGCGACCCATGCCCTTACCAACATGAGAGAACAAAGAGTGCAAACAAGGAAGCCCCGAGCTGCTAGCATACGAACGTGAAGTCTAGACAGAGGAGATAAGGGAAGCTAGACGTGGCGGTATGGGGAGGCAGCGGCGAATGGGGCCTGAGCATGTAGAGCAAGATGCCCCCAGCCACAGCGACATTGAGGGACTCCGCCCCACCGGGCATGGGGATGGCCACTGCTTGACTTCTGAGTGGACTCTAGTGTCAGCTGGTAACGGTGGCAGTATGGGGAGGCAGCGGCGAATGAGGCCCGAGCAGGAAGAGCAGGATGCCGCCAGCCACAGCCACATTGAGGGACTCCGCCCCGCCAGGCATGGGGATGGCCACTGGTTGGCACAGGCGCAGGGCTGTTGCGGACAGGCCCTGCCCCTCACTGCCCAGCACGAGACAGAGCCCGCGAGGTGGGGGGGAGGGGGAGGTGGGGGTAGAGGGAGGAGCACTGGCACCAGGAGAAGTTGTGGCATCAGGTGCTGCAGCCAATGTGGCAGCAGGATCAGTTGGGTCGACAGCAGCAGCAGCAGCAGGTGCAGCAGGAGGAGGAAGCGGAGCAGCAGCAGCCGGGTGGGCAGCGAGGAGGGAGAGGTTGTGGTGGGAGGCGAGGGAGAGGAGGTGAGACCAGTCCCCCACGGCTACTGGCAGGCGGAAGAGCACTCCCCTGGACGCCCTCAAAGCCTTGTCATTGAATGGGTCGCAGCAGCCGGGCAGGAGAAAAACTCCGCGCTGCCCGAGAAAGAAGAGGGTGATGTGAGGGATAGGGACAGAGTGAGAGAATGGAGAGATGGAAGGAAAAGGATTAAAGGACGTGTGAAATAATTCAGTTTGCGGTGCATGTGGAGCACAGAAAACATGGAATGGAAATGTGAGATGGATAACAACTTAATCCACGGGACAGGCAGGCAACCACCAAGCCATCCCACCCACTCCCCTACTTGTCCACTCTCCAATTCATCCCCTCCCCCCCCATCCCCCACCACCACGCCTCACGGCGAGACTCTCACTCACCCAGTCAAAAGCCAGTGCTGTGCGCAGCAATGTGCCCAGATTGCCGGGGTCCTGGCCAGGGACGAGGGCGGAAAGAAGGAGCGGAGGGAGGAGAGATGGGATTAGAGCAAGGAACGGAGTAGACAAGAGTTGACGTGCTACCTGTGCAGCAACAGAGCACGGAAACAGGTAGGCAAACAGCTAAGGAAGCATGTGCTGCCCTGGGAAATCGAGCACGTTACCTGAACTCCGTCCAGCACTAGCACTCGGGACAAATCACCTCCCCAACCACTTGCTCCTCCTCTCCCTGCTCCCTCCTCTCCTCCCTCCCCTCCTCCCTCCCCTCCTCCCTCCCCTCCTCCCTCCCCTTCTAGCCACCACCCACCTCGGCCACCTCTCTCGTCCACCTCTCTCCCTCCCTTCATCCCTCTCTCCCACAATATCCCCCCCCCTTCCACCCGCCCATGCACAGCCCTCCCCACAAACCCCTCCTCCTCTCCTTCCTCCCTGTACCCCATCCCCTCCCCTTTCTCCCCCTCCTTCTCTTCCCTCTCCTCCTCCTCACCACCCTCATCACCATCACCACCATCGAGCACGCGGAACGAGGCGGGCAGGCGCATGACAGCCGCTACAGCAGCAGCATCCACGCTCTGCACGCCAGCCAGGCGGCTCATGACGGCGGGGGACACGTTGAGCACGCGACGAGCGAGGCGGGCGAGCAGAGGGGGAGGGGGCGAGGGGGAGTCGGACTGCAGGAGGAGGATGTCCAGGGGGCAGTCAGCAGGGGCGTTGACTGCGTTGACTGGTGGGGTTGATTCAACTGCTGCCAGTGCTTCTGCTGCAGCCGCTCCTGCTCCTACTGCTGCTGCTGCTACTGATGACAGCTGATCAACTGTCTGGTTCTGCTGCTGCGGCTGCACCTCCCCCTGCTGCTGCTGCCCCTGCAGCCAGTGCTCGCAGATCTCCCTTATCGGCACCTCCCCCGCCACCAGCACGCGCCCACTGGCTCGCCTCGATGCCGCGCTCTGCCTCAGCCGCACGGCGCGCTTCACAAACGCGTTTCCCACGCTCGCCACCTCCAGCACGTGCACAGGGGGCTCCTGCCACGCGCCCTCCTCGCCTCCGTCCCTCAACCCCCCTCTGACTCCCCCTCTGTCCCTGCTCTTAGCTTCTGCCAACGGCCTCCCTGAAAACAACTCCTTCCTCCCCCTCAACTCAGGCTCCCCCCCGTCCTCTCCCTGCTGCTCCTCTTGCCTAAACCCTTGGAAATAATACTCCCTGTCTCCCTCACTCTCCCACTGCTCGGCCCCCCTAAACCCCTGCTTAAACCCTTCCCTAAACCCTGTACCTTCTCCTCGCCACGCGTCGTCTCTCCTGCCTCCAAGCCCGCGGCGGTTCCTAAACCCGCTGGGAGAACCCCCGTTATAGTCACGATCGCCACGTGGCACCTCGTCACTACTGCGTCCCCTGTGACTATATCGCGAGCCACCATCTCGAGTGAACGAAGCCCTCTGTTGCATGTCCCGCACGCGTCCGTCCCTCTCCTCCCTTCCTCGCCCATCCCGGTTCCGGTCCTGCCATTGCCCCTCTCCCCCTCTCTGCTCCCCCCTACCCTGTTCGCCCCCCCTGTAGCCATCCCGCGCCCCCGATCCCCTCCCCCAGCCCCCCCCTCCCCGTCTCTTCCGCATCCCACCGCCCCGACCTCTCTCCCCGCCGGCTTCTCCCCCCTTCCCGATCCCCCTCCCAAGCCCCCTCCCGGTCCCCCTCCCGTTCCCCCTCCCTCTCCCCCGCCCGCCAGCCGTTCCCCCCCCGCTCACTCCCGCCCTCCATTCCCCTGTCGCCGCGACCCCATTCCCCCCTCCCTCTCCGCCTCTCCTCAAACCCCTCAATATGATCACGCTCCCGCTGCGGACCCCGCGCATCCTCGTGCCAGACATCGCTGTCTCTGCTGCCGAACCTGCTGCCGGGCCGAGCCTGCCGAGATCCAAACCGGATCTCTTGATACGGTTCGTTCCGAGTCTGCCATCCGTCTCTGCTGCTTTCTCTTCCCCCTCGAGACGCCCGCACCCTGCCGAGCTGTCTCCTCGCACTAGTAGGGCTACCTCCCCGCCATCCGCTCGCGTCCGTTAAACCCGCTGAAACCCGCGATACGCGGAGAGCACGAGTCTGGAAAAGTTGCTCGTTTACGTTGCTTCGAGGGCGGGAGGGCGTGGAGAAATGCGCGAAAATCTTGCTTGCGCTGGCAGAGGTTGCCCGTGTCAGGGGGACGTCCCTAGTAGGCGTTTGCTGCAGCGGCGAGAGGCTGACGTGGCGATGCATACGCGTCACGGAAAACGTTGTCATGATGCGGCACTAACACGCAGGCGTTGCTAGATTCGGTATTGATTGAATGTTCCGTTGTTTCGGCATTGAGCAGAAGCTAGGACGGTTATTGGTCTGCCCACAAAAAAAAAGAGGACACGACAATATACTGTTATCAATGGGTGTAGCGGCACTCGTTAAACATTTTTCTGTCTGTTTATGGATGGGGAAAGCAGGTGGAGGATGATTCTGCCCGTCCTCCGGAGCATGCCTTGCCTATCCAAATGAAAGGATACATACAAGTTTGCTGGTCGTCCGCCTCCAGCTCACGCATTGATCGCGCCTTGGTCTCACTCCCTGCTGGCTCATCTGCAGGAGGCGTGGCATGTGGCGGTTCCGTATGGGGTATCGGACCATTGGTTTGCGATCCAGTGCACGCTGCGGGACAGGTTGACGGACGGCACAGGGCCGGGGCTTTGGCGCCTGCCGGGCAAGCACGCAAAGAGAGCAGGTGTAAGAGGATCGGTGGTGGTGGAAAGCCCACCACACACACAACACACTAAGCCTAGCCCCCCATACTCAGTTGCAGCGACGACTACTCCCGCAGGGTCAGCCCCTCGGCACGTGAGGCGGCGACGTCCACAGCGAGGGTAGCGGCTGCAACGGTGGCGACATCGACAGCGTCGACAGCGGCAGCGGCGGCGGCGTGGCCAGCGGCACCAGCTGCGGCGGCGGCGGCTTTGACGACATCTGCCGGCGGCGGCGGAGCTCGCACCACTCAGCGACGTGGCCGGGCTCCGTGACGGTGGGACGGCCGGTGCGAGTCAGCCGTCGGCTGCGGCGAGGAAGAGGGGACGCAGGGGAAGGGGGCGGGGCTTCAGCAGCGGAGCCCGGGAGCGTGCCGCCCCGTGTGGCGCGCTGGCTGCATGCGGGCGTGCTGGCCAGCGCTAAGACGGGGCACTGGCCGCTGCCGTCCATGCCGTCCGCGCGCTGGCAGCACGTCGCCACGGCAGCACGACGGCGCCGTCACGCTGCCACGGCTTGACGTCGATGCCATGACAGCGCGACGCCACGGCAGTGCGTCGAGACGGCCGTGGCAGCACGACGTGGCCGGCGGCACGACGACGCCCCCACAGCAGCACAACGCGGTCGGGGGCACGACGACGCCGCCACAGCAGCACGACGCGGCCGCCATGGCAGCGCGAGAGAGAGAGAGTAGGAGTGCGCGGCGGAAGCGAAAGAAGGAGGTCCAGCAGGTTGAACCTGCTCTGATACCATGTTAAGATGAGCTAGCTAGGGGGAGAAGCCATGAATGGCGAGAGGTTTAGGTGCTAGGAGAGAATGTATGGAGAGAGAAGAGATTGAGATTAAAAGAGAGAGGGATACAAGGAGGGAGTTGTACCCTCTAAAGTAGGATCCAGCAACACCTTCCAAGCCTACAATTACATGTATATAATATAATTTAACACGGTGTGCATAATAGGACGGATCTGACGGCAACGGAGTCACTATTGGCAGCGTACCAGGAGAGCAGGCGCGACAGGGTACAGTGTCAAATCATATATATTTTTTATATATGTTTGTTAGGCTTGGTAGGTGTGCGACCTTGCTGAATCCTACAGTAGAGGGTACAACTCCCTCCTTGTATCCCTCTCTCTTCTAATCTCAGGCTCCTCTCTCGAAGCCGCCGCCGATGCCGCAGGTGCCGCTGGCTCCGCCGCCACCCGCCATCGCAGCCGCCGCTGTCGTCGTACCGTCGTCGCCGCCGCCGCTGACATGGATGCCTCGCACGTCGAGAGGTCGACCGGGCTGGCGACGCCACAGCTGCTGCATGGCATAGGGGTGCAAGGGTGTGGGGGTGGGCTTGCCACTACCAAGCATAGGGGGTGTGTCAAATCATATATATATTTTAAATATGTTTGTTAGGCTTGGTAGGTGTGCGACCTTGCTGAATCCTACTGTAGAGGGTACAAATCCGTCCTTGTATCCCTCTCTCTTCTAATCTCAGGCTCTTCTCTCTCGACATTTTCTCCTAGTCTAATTCCTCTCGCCACTTTCCTATGCCTAGCTTCTAACCTAGCTTCTCGACATACAGATGTTGGCGGGTGTCAGAGCGGAACTCCAGGAGGAGACTCCCTCGGCGTACCTGTCGGCTAAGATCAAGAGAAGAAGGGTGAAAACACTGATAGAGAAGGTGGAGCATAAAGGTAAGGACCATTGTGGACTAAAGGAGGTGTTGACAGCAGCTTCGGAGTACTCCTCTGAGGTGTTCGGAGATGCGGCAGAGGAGCTCATCCTGGAGGGGTGGGATGCAGAGCCGGACAGGCGGTTGGGGAGAGAGGACGCGGATGCGCTTATAACAGAGTGGACAGAGGGAGACTTGAAACAGGCGATGAGAGAGTTGGCGGCAGGGAAGTCACCGGGGCAAGATGGCCCGCCCAAGGAGTTGTATGAGGCACAGTGGGATTTGTTGGGGGAACACATAGTGGCGTTTGTGAAGTGTTTCGAAGATACGGTGCAACTCTCGACGGTGAAAACGGCGGTGACGATCCTCCTGCACAATAAGGGACCGACAAAAAAGCTTTAGAGCTACTGGCCGATTTTAGTGCTGAACACGTCGTACAAGGTGCTGGCGAAGGTGTTGGCGAACAGAATGAAAGCGATGCTGCACAATGTCATTTCGGACGGGCAGCATGGGTTCATACCTGGACGGAAGCTGGTGGATGCGGTCGCGGTGGTGGCTGATGTCATTGATGCGACGAAGGCGGGGAAGGAGGACTGTCTACTATTACTGGTGGATTTTAAAAAAGCTTACGACTCGGTCAAGCGCGGGTACCTGCTCACCACCATGGGGGCAACAGGGTTCTCGAACCGTTTTGTACGGTGGGTTGAAGGTCTGCACGCAGGAGCGGCCATGAGAGTCAGCATGGATGGGAGATTGGGGGAGCTCGTGGACATGCAAAAAGGGGTAAGGCATGGGTGTTCGCTGGTGCCGTATTTGTTCCTCTGCACAGTAGAGCCCCTGTGTCAGGCGGCTGGCATACCTCGGGTATGCAGATGACACGACCTTCCTGCTGAAAGGGGCGGGTCAACTGGCAGATGCGAAGGAGGTGTTGAAAGACTTAGCAAGCACCTCGGGGCTATGTACCAACTGGGAGAAGTCGGTGGTGATTCCGCTGGATCGGAATCACACCATGGCGCCGCTTGCACGACAAGCATTCAAGTGGGCATGCCCGGAAGAGCTGGAACGGCTGCTGGAGATATGGGTCTCAGCAAGTGGGAACACGGGGTCATCGTGGGAACACGGGGTCATCGTGGGAAAAGGCCCTGGATAAAATGAGGGGGACTCTGCGGAGGTGGGAGGCGCAACATCTCTCCACGTCGGCCCGGGTCACGATCATCAACAGTTACATGATGCCCATATTGCTTTTCCAGGCGTAGGTATACCCCCCGCCGATGTCGGTGTGGAAGCAGATACCGAAGCTGGGGCATACTGTAACTTCGTGTCCGGGGGACATGCATCGACGGAGCAGCTGTTCATGCTCTGGAGTTACCAGCTAATGTGCCTGCCACGGAAGGAAGGGGGGTTGGGAGTTATAGAACCAAGAACCAGAGTGGACAGTTGGGCGTTGAGAATGATTGGGAATCTGCTTCAAGAAACCAACCCCATGAGGCGTTGGCTGGCGGAGAGGGCGGCAGGGTTACCGCTGGGTTATGCGACCTTCTATGCGCACGCGACGATCCTGAAGCACTGGAAAGGGGGTAGTGCAAGATGGAGGGGGGCCGTGGAGGTTTTCATGAAGTCAAGCCTGGCGGAGGTCGCAACGTCGGGCACACGATGGGAGGTGGGGCAGGAAAAGCTAACTTTCAACAAGAGGATTCTTTTCAGGGGCAATAGCCCTTTCAGCTGTCAAAAGGAGACGGTGGACATAATCGGCGTGACGATGGGGGACCCGGTGACCAAAGGAGAGGGCAGTAACCTGGTACAAAAGGATAGGCGACAGCTTACGAAGGAGCTAGGAGGGGGGCTTAGAGCAACGGCTGCAGAAAAGGCTTTTGCAGCGGCACCTGAGGAATGGAGGTGAGCGTTGCTGGGGCAGACGAGTGTGGAGGACGTTGCGAGGGACATGATCGTGATTGGAAGAAGTGGATGGTTGGGGGTGAGGACCCATTATGGCTGATTACTAAAGCCGACCGGGGAAAGCTACTCTGCACTAGGGTGTCCCTGGATGGTGACGGGCTGGTATTATCGGCGGGGGTTCAGCAAAGCAGAGAAATGGAGGCAACTGAGGTGGTGCCGTTAAATCTGGTACACGGCAGGGTGCTAGGTCTACTGGGTGTTCCAAGAACGAGACTAAGATGCACTGATTTGTGTGTGGAGCAGCTATCGGCCGAGGTTAAGGCGTTGAGGAAGACGTTGATGGTCAGACAGGATAGGCCAAAGCAACAACTTATGTGGGAGGAGATGTGGGGTAAGAGAATTGAGTGGGGCAATGTGATACAAAGGAGGGACTCGTTGGTGACTCTGGGCAGAGCAAGGGAGATTTTGCTGCGGTTGCACAGTTGTAACTTGCAAGTGGGGAAGAGGTTGGCCTTTTTGGGGGACAATGGCAACTGCCCGCATTGCAATGCAGAGGAAACAATGGAGTATTGCCTCTACAATTGCCAAAGGATCCAGCCGGTCATCGGCACGCTCAAGCGGGCGGTGCGCATTATGAATCCGACGAGGAAGGCGGCGTCGTTGGGGGACTTACTGTTCCAAATGGGTGGCACGAGATCGGGGTTTCCAGAAGCACCGATGATGGCGGTCACTTTGCATCGTCTGTGGTTGGACAGGTGTGACACAGTGTTCGGGGACAAGAAAATATAGGTTAAGAAGATTTTGCGGCAAGTGGCGATGGCATTTAATGGCCATGTGAGGGTGTATAATGCATGCAGGCTACGGGCAGCAATGTATAAGCAGCACAAGATGAGCAGCATGAGGTGGAGTCACCTGGCAGATGACGAGGCGAAAGTCATGGGTCGGATATGTGGCACACGGTCGAAGCTGTTGAGGTGGAACAGTGGGTTCCAATCCATCTGGACGG